CCATCAATAACCATAATTCCATATCGACGTGCATTTAAATCATTAACACTATCGATTATTTGTTGTTGAAGAAAATCAGTTATAAAATGTGTTTCACATCGATAAAGACCATATTGTAATGGTTGTAATGGTTCAATACACATTGAAATTTTTGTTTCACGATGTTGTTCTTCATCATAAACAATACCTGTATAAAGAACAAGACCATTTTCTGGTAATGTATTTTGTGTATATAAACGAAGTCGTCCTTGAGCAGCACTTAATGCTTGTTGAACATTATGTCGAGTTTGAGATGATTTAATACATGATGATAGTGCATATTCATCAGTAAGAAGTTTCGTTGTTCGTGATAGTTGTGATTGAGCAGGAACAATCATTGTTACTAATGATGTACCACGTCCACGTAATGATGATAAATATTGAATAGTTCGACGAAGTTTCCATTTTTCAATGGCAGAATCATCATTTTGCATTGCTGTAGCCATAGGAGATAGTCTGAATAAGTTTTTTTACAATTTCTGAAAGTTATTATGTCCATAGCAGTGATGTTCATCAAGCTTTTATAGTTGAGAATAAGACGTAATAATACTCTTACTAGCCAGATGTAATATCAAAATTTCAGGATTTCATAAGGTGAAATAATTACGAAACTTCAACGTTAAATAGTGGATAAAGTAATTGCGAAATTTACATGCAGAACAGAATCAAGATGTAGGAGAAAGGAAAGAAAGAAGCACGGAGAGAAAAAAACAACATGAATCAACATAGTCGACATTGTAAAATATGAATCACATTTCTAACCTTGGCATAAATTTTATTAGAATCTCACTGATCAATCATATTGGAATCGGTTACAAGTATTAAAATCGATTTCATATTGAACGGTCTCTATGATTATTTTCTTATTAAATTCATGATCACTGAAGAAGATCTTTAGAAAAATAAGTAAGATTTTATTTTTCTTATATCTCAGTAGTTTATTTTTCTGCTCTAAAGTTAGGATTTTACAATAAGAAAATGTTCAAAAGTTAGTAAAGATTTTATTACTTAAATCAAAGAACACATCTTCAAACTTTTTTTTCATTCTCAACATTAGAATATTTAAGCAAAAAGTGTTCTAACATTAGGAAATGTTTTATTGTTCAAATCAAAGAAGACAGCTCCAGAATTTGTTTTTCATGTCCAAGATTAGAATATTCAAGAGAAAAATTATTTTAACTTTAGTAAAGATTTTATTGCTCAAATTGAAGAATGCAACTCAAAAGTTCGTTTTTCATATCTAAGGTTTGGATATTTAAGCGAAACAGTATTCTAAATTTAGGAAAGATTTTATTGATCAAATTGAGGAATGCAGCTCAAAAGTTTAGTTTTAATATCTAATGTTAGAATACTCAAGCAAAAAGTATTCTAACGTTTGGACAGATTTATTGTTCATAATGAATACCGCAGCTCCAAAGTTTATTATTCATATCCAACATTAGTGTATTCAAGCAAAAAAATTATTCTAAAGCTAATAGGCATATGATTAATTATTGAATCTAGATTTTGAGTTACAGCTTCAAAGTTTGTTTTTCATATCCAACGTTCGGATTCTTATGCAAAATTTATCCTAAAATTGGTAATGATGTATTTTTTTGTGTTCGAATTTTAGCTCATTATTCTATAGTTTGTCTTTTATCTTAAAAATGAAGATTTCAAAGTGAAAAGCTGTTCCAATATTGCTAATTATCTATCCTTCATGTTCAACATGGAACTTAAATCTCTATAGTTTACTCTGTCTTCACTCAGATTTAGGACATACTTATTTAAAGAATGTGATCATGAGCCCAAAAAATAGTAAATAATCATTTAACTCACATGAAATGAATAAAAGATCAGCTAAATTGTTCTTTTTTTAAAGTATGATAATTGTATAAGCAACAAATAGTACTTGTTTTTTATAAAAAATCCAACGTTTAAATGTTCTATCAATGGCGCTTTTTTAAAAATTAATAATCGACAACCCAGGCTAGCAAAGAATAAGGGGTGACGCCCGACATGACTAGTCTAGATTGTCCGTAGTACTCGTCTGGACTAGTCTAAAATGTCTGCACTGCCGTTTGGACTAGTCTGAAATGATTTGCAGCTAGTCAGGACTAGTCGTCTTCACAAGCAATGTCTTGCATCTAAAATAGACTAGTCCAAAACATGCTCTAATCTTGTCATGGCTAGTCCATTTTGTATGTGCACACTGTCCAGACGCGCCAACTTGAAGGCAAAAGCTAGAAGAAACGGAGGCGATAGGTGGATTCGAACATTCTAGCCGACAATATTGGATACCTGACTAGTCTAAACTGTTTTCAATAGGTAACGCGGACTAGTATGAAGAGTCATCTATATTGGTGATGACTAGTCGTTTTCGAGAAAGTAATGCCAATTCTGGTCCAGGCTAGTCTATCCTTCCAAACAGTCTTTATTGCTTGGACTTAATCATTCGGACAATTCGTTTAGAGTAGTTTGTATTGG